TATGACAACTTCACACCGCGATTGCAAAACAAGTTTGCTGCAAATATGTACAGATAATCTTTGTCTCTGTTTTAAAAAACGTCCGATTTTTAATAGCATCTCCTAGACCGTACTTCTTTTCATTTATTCAATAATTCACAGATAATTTGTGAAAAAACTAACTTTTTTATAAAAAAATTTTGAAAAACTTTCCATCTTTTTACTAAATATAGAACTCGCACTTTAAAGAAAACTATATCGCCTTTTTCTTAATGTTGAAATTTTAACGTTCATAAACAAAATTAAACCTAAAAAAAGGGAATGTTTGTTCAAAAATAATAATTTACATTTTGTCCCATTTTAAAAGTAATTACTTTTGAACCCTAATTTCAAAATTTATTCAACTAGTGAAACATAGTTATTAGCGAAAATCGTTCTCTCTTGACTTCAAATCGTATTCTCAACACAAATTTTAAAAAATTAAAGAAATCAAGAAAGCAGTTTAAAATAAATCGTACGCACGATTTATTGGCGAAATCTATCCTCTCCTGTCAGAGTTTAGCTGGCTGAGTGGTTAGGACGACTGGTTTTTGAAGCGAGATGGTGGGGCTTCGAATCCGAGGTTGTCTTTGTACACTGCTTTTGCTATAATTTGCAATGGGTTTGACGCGGCAAACTTGTGACAAGCTTGACGCGTGGCGACTAACTTGCTTGCGTTAACTTGCTTCAAACTTGCACTCTTGCCGTGTCAAATTTATTGCAAGCGTGCAGATTTGCAGAGGAAGATTGCTGCAACTCGGCTGCAAACTAAAATTGTTATCTGGGAGACTTGAAAATAATTCGCATTCGAAAAAAATTGCTACACCTTTAAGGCCTGCGATGAATAATAGGTCTTAGGGTGGGTTTCTTTTGTTTATTTTATATTTTTTCTTTTATTTCGAACACGATGTCTATTATTGACGAAATTGTTAGTAATAATTTAGAACATAATAAATTTCAGTAATAGAAGTAACGTTATTGTAAATTCAATTTTTCCTACTATTAAATAGTTGAGTTTATTTTTCCTACCAGAGTGTGTATATAAAAGTACATACTATATGAAAACCCAATATCTCTAGCAAAATGCTCCCCCACATTAATCCAGCAGTCATCATATCCTATCTAATTATCTGCTTTCCTTCTCAGATTTGTTCCTTGGGAAGATCATTTTATTCGACGCCAGTTGTTATCACAACAACACCTACGTGGACCATTATGGGCAGAAATGTTTTATTTTATCTATCTCCATTTGCACCGATATCTTCCTTTGTTTAGGAGAGTCAGGGCTTTTTTTTATCCGGGAAGCTTCATTCTGATATATTCTTTGTGTTATTGATGACTAGGCAACACACCAGGCCGCCTATGTTTTGTCAGCTCCGAAATCTGATCACCAGCGTTATTAGAAGCAGCCGTATCGATAGACAGTTCTCGAATCGATAGTTTCTTTCATCGGTCATCGCTGCTGCAGTTCGAGATTTCAAGTTGAGCAGGATCCAAGATAATCAGTTTCTGGCGCGGGCTCTATTTATTTTGGGAAAATTGGTTGCTCATGTTGGAGTGTCAGAATTGTGTGGGGTGTGTAGTTGAGGTATAAAAGAAAGGTGGAGAATTGGAACTGTTCTTTTCGTTTCTGTTTGTAATCTAAATTTCTACACAAGGAATTTTTGTGGTGATGCCGACACAAGGTAGTAGAACGAGAAATGGTGAAAAAGAATGAATAGAAAGATGAAACGAATTTTTTTAGGTTATGGTTCTAGAGCATTTGTTACGAAGTATTGATTTATGCTTCGAGTACCAAAAAGTATTCCTTGTATCGCTACATCTTGGATCGCAAGTACATCTCTGTGATTCTTGCAAAAATTATATAAAGAATAAAGTTATATAAAACTTATATAAAGAAATATTTCGCAGTTTTCAATACAATTGCTGATTTCTCTAAGACTTTTATAAGACTTGCAATGTATTATTAATAAATAAAACTTTTCTATTATTTTTCTTACTTAATTAACCTGAAGATGAATCCAAGATCATCAGTTTCTGGCGCTGGCTCTATTTCTTTTGGGAAAATTGGTTGCTCATGTTGGAGTGTCAGAATTGTATGGGGTGTGTAGTTGAGGTAAAAAGAAAAGTGGAGAATTGGAACTGTTCTTTTCGTTTTTTTTTGTTGTTGTTGTCCTTCATTTCGTTTCTGTTTGAGACCTAAATTTTAACAAAACGAGTTTTTGTGGTAATGCCGACACAAAGAAATAGAACAAGACATTGTGATAAAGAATGAATCGTAAAATATTTTTTAAAAGTTATGGTTTTAGAATATTTGTTACGAAGTATTGATTTATGTTTCGAATACCAAAAAGTATATCTTGGATCGCGAGTATATATCTGTGATTCTTTAAAAAGTTAAGATATTATTTTTGAAATATCTCACAGTTTTCAATAAAATTGCCGATTTATATAAGACAGTTATAAAACTTAACAGCAATGTATCAATAATTGATAAAACTCATTACTTATTTTCATTATTAAATTAACCTGAAGATGAGCAGGATCCCAAATAATCAGTTTCTCGTGCAGACAGTATTTATTCTAGGTAAATTGGTTATTCGTCTTGGAGTATCAGAATTGTGTGCGGTGTTTAGTTGAAGTATGAGAAGAAAGGTGGAGAATTGGAACTAGTATTTTCGTTTATTTTTTATTTTGTTGTTCCCTTCTTTTTCTTTCTGTTCTAAATTTTAACAAAATACTTTTTTATGGTAATGCCGACAGAAAGCAATAGAAAGAACAATAGAGAAAAAGAGTTTATGGTAAGACGAAAAGAGTTTTTAGGTTAGTTTTTAGTATATTTTCTACGAAGTATTAATTTATACTTCGGGTGCCAAAAATTGTTTCTTGTATTGTTACATCTTACAACTCAACTATATCTGTGCGATTCTTGCAAACTAAGTAATATTTTGAAATCTTTATTTATTCTATGAATTTCTCTAAGCCAGTTATAAAAAGTTGCAATGTATTATTAATTCATAAATCTGGTTACATATTTTCTTTAATAAATTGACCCGATGTAATCAGTTAATCAACATAAAACGTTGATGCATTTTGTGCATGTAATATGAACATAAAATGTTTTAAGAAAATGTGGTAGATAATTAAGTAATAAAAGACTAGAAAAGTACCCGTCATGGTAAAGTGGGTGCAAATCGCCTCTTCATTCGAGTCCGTCAAATTGGATGTGTTTAAATAGATATACATGCGAGAGAAATGTTTAACATTGATTTAAAACTAATAAAATAAGCATATTCTTTATGGTTTAACGTTGCCAAAAAATATTATCAAATTGTATCATCACGATTGCAATAAACAATGAGATGCATCGTGGCGTCCAAACTATATCACGCGCATGATGTACCACTGACGTTATTTACTACTTTTTATTAAAAAACGGAAATTAATTTAAAATATAGGATTAATATAATTTACAATTTCTCGAGAACTATTGATCATAGCGAGATAAATTTTATATCAATCTATAGCAAATTTTATTTCACTATTTTATAACTATTAAATTTGAAATTATAACGACAATTACTCTTTTAAATTTAAAATTACTGAAATTTAGGTTCTGTAACAATGAAATAATGCTGTTTAACGTCTCGCAGTGCTATGGCGCGAGTTTTATTGTTTGCGATGGCAGAGCGTTACCGAGAGTCAGATCTGGGGTATTATATTAGTAATATTGTTCACATTTTCAGAAACCGCCAACAATATACTATTCGAAAGATCTACCACTTGCATAAAGAATGCAAAGGCTTCTGCGGATCACCAACTGATGTAGGTAAAGTAAAGTTTTGTCATACTTTTTCGCTTTGCTGAACTAAGATTAGCTCAATAATAACTGTATCATCCTACCTTGCCGCTCGTGGGTGCCATAAGTAGATAATAATAACTGTATCATCCCACCTTGCCG